TTGTTTGACATATTTGTGACCTTTTTAACAACATAAAACCATAATTTTTTTAGAAAGTAAGATACTAGAAAATAATATACCATGGACTTGGGCACTTCATATGTTTCTTCTTGCAAATAAGTTTTGAATTTCTCTTCAACTATTCCAGACTTCCCTCCTCTTGCCCCATACCGGACCTCCCTCCTCTTGACCTTCTCCTAGGTTGCTTTACTCGATCTGCAGTTTGTGAGCTACCAATTTTCTTCTTCTCCTTTGATAGTAGATTTTTGGACATCAAGAGGCTGTCTTTTACACAATAAAAAACTGTTAAAATTGCAATTTATGAACCTTAAAATGCAGTTCTTTATATGTTGAAATCTAGTTTTTAGACGTTAAAATGTAGTTTTTTAGATGTTAAAATGTAGTTTTTTATATGTTAAAATGCAGTTTTTTTTACATTAAAAATAGCCTTTTGATAGCAGATTTTTGGACATCAAGTGTCTGTCTTTTACGTAATAAAAAACTGTTTTTTCTACATTGAAATGTAGCTTTTTTACAATATAAACAACTTTTGTAATGATATATTTTTTAGTAATATTATCCTATTCATTTTTAATAATCTTGTAGGAACAAATTAAGAACTACAAACCTCTAGAAGATGAAAGTGATGATGTGGATCATTATATGATTGTGATAAACAAAGAGAATGATGGATATTGTCACAGACTTTATGGTAGAGGCGTTACTAATAGATTGATAAAAAAAGTGGGTGGCAGTGATGCATCATACATGATTCCGGTGAGACTTATGGAATCATTCAAAGCAAATGAAGTTGGAAAAAATCAGTTGATTGAAATGTAAAAAGAGATTCAAGAGGACCATGAAAAAAACAGGCCTAATTTTAAGCCATGCGAATAGATATTAAAAACCAACAAGAAAACCTTGAAGCCGCCATGATGTGAAAGTTTGTGGAACAACCTAGAGAAGGTTGATAGTTGCTAATATGATTTATCGTCTATGTTTAGTACACGTCTAGGGTGTTTTTAATACTTTTTTTGTGATTATAGTTGACAACTCTGTGTCGACTTTGATTTATGGTTGTTATTTTAAATTTAGACATGTCAAAGGAGATTATAAAATTATATAAGATATTTATATTATTATTGTTATGGTGTAATTTTAGTAGCATTGAATATTTGTAGCAATGTAGTAAACATATGTAGCTCCACATGACTAGGAAAAAAGATGTCGCATTGGCGTGAGAAAAGTCACATAAATAAAGTTGCATTTGACTGTAAAAAAGGTTGCATTTTTTTGCAATTAAGGACGTAAAAAAGGTTGCATGTGCCATATAAAAAGGTTGCAATTCTTTACTAAAACATAATAAATGTTGCAATTGATTATAAAAAAATTGAACTATTATAACTAAAACAGTTTAAAAAGTTGCATTTTAAGTGTAAAAAAAGTTGCTCGTAAGCATTAAAAGTTGTTTTTGCATTACAAATGTTGCATTAAAAAAAAGTTGCATCTAAAAAAGATTTGCAACTATTTCAAAAAGGGTTGTATTTCAAAGAAAAAATTGTTTTAGATCTAATGCAACGTTATCTAATGCAACCGTTATCTAATGCAACCGTTAGTAAAAAGTCGTTTTAGACATTATGCAACTTTTTCAAGGCCTAATGCAACCTTTTGGTGGGGTTGCATTAGCTTCATTTTGTTGTAGTTATACTTGGTAGGCTCACTTGGTGTGATTATATTTGGATTTTTTTTGTTAAATCTTAATATCTTTATAATAAAACGTGGAATTAAAAGAATACACCATTTGACATGTCTTGACTTTTTAGATTTTTTTCTTATTAATCAATGGTATTTTTAGAATTCTTGTTTGACTTTTTTTTAACAGTTGGTTATTGATTAGAAGTTAGTATCATCAAAAGTTAGTAGAATTCGTCAACGTCCGGATTAAAACTCGGGATATCCAATCTAAGAGATAAAGCCTTTACCAAATGAGCTAGTCCCACATTAGCATAATTCTTGTTTGACTTTACTTGCATGTTTCAACAAAACAAATCATATAGATGTTAATATACACTACAATAAGCTGAAAAGATGTATTTTCAATTCCCACAATCAATTCAAAATACGAATACCATATTCGGATTCCAACGAATATACTCGACCGATGAACATATCTGGATCCCGATGAATAGATTTGAAAAGTTGTCGGGAATGATACATTTCGGGATTATACTACTAAATAGAGATTTATTCTTACAATCCAGTACAATATAACAAACGCATAAACAAAAAAGATGAAACTATAATGTTGAAACTTTCAACATCAAAAGTAGCATTACCAAAATTCAAAAAATTTACAAGTGAAGAACTACTAATAATATAAAAGCATAACATGGTTCCATTTTGCAAAAAACATGATGAATCTAAATATCATTGTAGTAGGGGGAAATAACGGATCTACCATGTTCCAAGGGTAGCCCAAATTTTATATAGAAATTGAAGTAAAAATATATAATTTTGACTCTAGGAGGGTGTTTGGTTTAACTTCTAAAATGACTTTTGACTTTTTCTTTTAGAAAAAGTCAAAAAGATGTTTGGGAAGATGAGAATGACTTTTGAAAATGACTTTTCCAATAGAGTAAATTTGGTCTTTTTGAAAAGTCACGAAATCATGACTTTTACAACTTTTCAACAGTGTTAAACATTAAAATTACTTTTATATCTCCATCTACCCCCAAAAATATGTAAACATGTCATTTTTAGTCATTTTGCATGTAAAAATTAAACCAAACACTTTAATTTTTTGATTTTTTCCCTTCAAAAGCTAATCCAAACACATTTTAAAAAACAACTTTTGTAAAAAGTCCTTTTACAAAAAGTTCTTTTACAAAAAGGATTTTTGCCCCACAAAAGCCAAGCCAAACACCCTCTAGACCTTACTTAGAATAGACACCAAGAGACGAGAAAACTTGACTTTAAGTTCTCATTGTAAACCGAGTATTTAAAATGAGTTAGGTACTAAAACATTATTATAAATACTGATTTTAGTTTATTTTTATTTATATTGCACTTAGATTGAAATTTGTTCTTGATCTGCTACCAAATAGAGGTCGAGAGCAATTTTTTAGAATGGACGATGCAAATGAAAAACACACTGACATTATATATTGTCCGAAATCTTGAATGTTATGTTTTGGACAAAATGATTATTATCCCGAATAATGGATAAAAAATTAGTCAAATTTTCTTATTATAGGCAATTTTATGGTTAGCTTTGTAAGAAGGTGTTTTGGAAAGCTTAAAAAATGAGTTTTGAAGCTTATTATTATAAGCTAAAAAAAATTATAAATATATTTTAAAAATAACTTATAGTTGTCTCACATTTCTAATAAGTCATTTTTAATAAGTTATTCATCATAATTTATCAAAAACTATTTATAACTTATATTTGTCTCCTACCTTTAGAAAACATTTTTTGGTGATTTTGTCGAATACTAAAAAATGTTTATTAACTTATAACATTTTGACATTATATATACTAACCCAAACATTTATAAAAAAAAACACTCAATTTTTATACCGTTATAAGCTCCTAACTTAAAAAGTATTGATCATTAAATAAGAACTTGCAAGTGACGTCCAACCTAGCTGGATTGATGCACCGGATTTGATACCCATGTGAATTTGAGATCCGGAATTTAAATTTTTGAATCTATTAAATTTGCCTCTTACAATTATGCTTCATATGCAAGAAGTTTTTTCTGAAAATCCTCTTGCTCTTGAATGAGTTTGTCATCTAAAGAAGCTCAAACTCAAGGTCACTATTAAAATATTATAATAAGACTTCCATAGGATATTTACGGGTTCCTATAAAAAAAATAAAAAAAAATAAAATTAAACACTCAAGGCAAACAACCTCTTTTTGTAACACCCTAAAACTTTCAACCAATTTAAAATTTTTAAAACATTTCAAACCATTAAAAATCATTACAAGTTTGTTTTCAAAATGTATAATATCAGAGTTTTCCCAGAAACATAGACAAAACATGAGGAGCTGTACGATCACGCCTTCGCCTTGCCGCGATCCTCTGACGTACCTGAAACAATAAACTGAAACTGTAAGCCCGAGAGCTTAGTGAGTTCCCCCAAAATACCCATACCCGCAACAATACACATAGAATCATAACAGCATAATATGGGTCCAATCAACCATCGGGTTGGAATATCCCAGGCCCACAACCAACAAGTTGGATTGCCAACACACTATGGGTCCAATCAACCATCAGGTTGGAATACCCCAGGCCCACAACCAACCGGTTGGAATGCCCACATACTCTGAGTCCAATCATCATCGGGATAAAATACTCACGGCCCACAACCTACAAGTTGGAATGCCCAGGTCTATTGGCCTTCGCACCAAACAGATAAGCCTCAACCGCCAAACAAACATGTGCACATATAATAGATAACACATAACAATCTATAGACAATACTTGATCTAACAGATCTTACCACATAACACATAACACCATCCTATCTACCAGGATGCCAATCTAACAGATCATACCACATATCATATAATATTATCTTTACCCTCTAGGATACCCATCTAACTGATTATACTAGCATAACATAACCATATAATAATCCAAAGGGCCGGTCTTGGTGCCTTAGACCCTTGAGTATAGTGAGGAAAACTCACCTCACAACTGTCGTCTGAAACTAGAAGCTCAACTCCCGGATCACCAACACGAACTCCACCACATATCATTACCATAAAACCCTTTTTCGTAAATCTCCAAATTACCAGAATACTCTCAAAAGTCAACTGGTCAACTCTTGGTCAAAGTCAAAGTCCCCCGTCATAATCAACAGTCCATGTTGACTCGATTCGTCGAGTGGAGACCATCGACTCGTATTAGCTCGTCTTGAACGAGAGGTGTTTGTAATTTTATTATTTAAAAAGACGTAAGGGCCAAAACGTAACATTTAGCCAAAAAAAACTTGTCGACCTTCTTTAAAACTTTATTCCCAGTAATAATCAATTGGAGTTGAGAGAGAAAGAGCATAGGAAATGGTGAAGGATGAAGAAGCACTCGTCTTTGCATTTTTCCTTCACAGCTTTCGCATTTTAGATCTGTAAACCCCAAAATCCTTCATCATGAACTCAACAAACGATACATATGTTCTGCTTCAAAAACTACTGTAAGTTTATGCTTCTCGCAGGGGAGAAAAGCTTCTTCGAACTTTCCGATCTTAAGCTTTCTGAATACCCATTTATAATATGTTTCTCTTGTAAGTGTATGTGTATGTGTATGTTTATCTATCTATAGCTGTGTATCCGTACACACTCACTGTGTGCGGTTGTAGTGATATGTATGATACTTTTTCTATCTTCTTGAAACGCCTTTTTGCTGTGTGTGTATGTGCGTTTATTATTTGTTTATCTTTCTTCTTCTTTGGATCAGTTAAGGAATGCGATTGTTGTGTCTAATTCAACAAGAAATGGTATTGATGAAGCTTGTTCATAGTTGGTAGAGCAAGAGTACAATCTTTAAAGCGTTTAGTACAACATCTGTGTGATTCATATAATCTAGGGTTTCTTTCCTTCTTTCGTTGTGGGTTTTTAGGGGTTTCGTTCAGAACTCTCATTGTTGGTAGGTATTCAAAATTGGGGATTTTGACTTAAAACGAATCTATAGGAAACAGCGGATTCAAAACATCATAGTTAATCGATTATCAATCCTTTTACGGAAGATTAGTTATATACACCAATTTATATCAATCGATTTGGATTTTTCTGAACATCATCTTGCTATACAATTGCGTTTGGAGTTGAAAAAGATCTTGGATTTCGATTCATGATTTGTGTTATCTGTGATTTCTTGCAGATAGAAAGCTACCCGACTCAAAGATGAACCAGTTGACTGTGGAGACCAACGACACTTTTGCTACATTGCTTGAACATGCAGCCAATAATGATATCAACGGTTTTACAAAACTAATCGAGCAAAACCCCTCCACCATTGACGAGGTTGGATTATGGTACGAACGTCAAAAGTGCTCAAAACAAATGGTTCTTGAACACAGAACTCCATTAATGGTGGCTTCAATGTATGGAAGCATCGATGTATTGAAATTGATTCTTTCTTTATCTAAGTCCGATGTGAATCGTTCAACTGGTGCTGATAAAACCACCGCCCTTCACTGTGCTGCCGCCAGTGGATCACCCAATGCCGCCGATGTCATCAAACTTCTCTTATCAGAAGGCGCGGACCCATATTTAATCGATGTTAACGGGTTACGCCCCGTGGATGTGATCGTCGTCTCTCCAAAGTTTCCAAATACCAAAAATACCCTCAAAGAACTTCTTGCAACAAACGAAACCGAATTTACGGATTTACCCTCGTCCCCAAAAATATCATTGAACGACGGTAAACGGGAGTACCCGGTTGACCCGTCTTTACCCGATATAAAAAACGGGATCTATTCAACAGACGAGTTTAGAATATATTCGTTTAAGATCCAGCCATGTTCGCGTGCTTACTCACACGATTGGACCGAATGCCCATTTGTCCACCCAGGCGAAAACGCGCGTAGGCGGGACCCACGGAAGTTTCATTACAGCTGTGTCCCGTGTCCCGATTTTAGAAAAGGCGCGTGTAGAAGAGGCGATATGTGCGAATACGCGCACGGGGTTTTCGAGTGTTGGCTCCACCCGGCTCAATACCGGACCCGGTTATGTAAAGACGGGACAAGTTGTAACCGCCGGGTTTGTTTCTTTGCTCACACGCAAGACGAGCTTCGACCATTATACCCCTCGCCTAGGGCCATGTCATCATTGGAATTTGCAGCTGCCATGAGCTTGATTCCAGGGTCACCTTCGTCATTTACACCGCCCATGTCCCCGTCAGCAAACGCAATGTCAAATTGGCAACAATCAAGTGTCCCGAATGTCCCGTCTTTGCTTTTACCGGGAAGTAATCTTCAATCGAGTCGATTAAGGTCATCATTGAATGCGAGAGATCAAGATTTGAGTATGTTTTTACAAAGATCGGGTCATAATCAAACGGTGTTAGAGGATTTATTTGCAAACGAAACCTTGTCTCCTCGTTTTTCGGATCAATCGATGTTTTCTCCGAGGAACAATTCGTCGGTTTTTAACGCGTTTCAACAACAACAAGGAATGTTGGCTCCTATAAACACGAATTATACGGGTCAATCGATGTCACCTCGCAGTATGGAAGCGATTTCACCGATGAGTTCACGGGTTTCAAAGTTGGCCCGAGAGAATCAACATCAACAACCGTTTCGAAGTTTGAGCTCACGAGAACTTGGGTCAAAGTCAAACACGGGTTCTTCTGTTGACCCGTGGTCAAAGTGGGATTCTTCGGGTAGTGGGAAAGCTGACTGGGCGGTTAATGCGGATGATTTTGGGAAAGTTAGAAGGTCGTCTTCGTTTAGGGAGGATGCTGACGTGTCATGGGTTCAGAATGAACAGCCTCAGACTCATGAAGTGAACGAAAGTGAAATGGAGCAAATGGATGAATCGGTTCTTTCAGCATGGATTGAGCAAATGCAGCTTGATCAACTTGTGGCTCTAAAGAACTTAAGCTAGGAATTGGAGGTAAATAACAATACATGGCAAAAAAAAAAAGGGAAAATCTGATTATTTTTTATTTGTTATTAATATAGCAGAAAGTTATAAACTCTAGTCCAATTTTTCTCAAAGTTACAAGAATATTATTTGTTTAACACCGAACTTTATTGTTTGTCTTTGTTTTGGAACAAAATATATTATTGTTCATATAACACCTTGTGGGATATTGGTTTAATTATGATAACTTGTGTATGGGCATCATGGTTCATGTAATCATATGAGTAAGTGGTTTTCTTTTTCTTCCACTTGTTCAGTGGAAAAGGAAAAGGTTACAAGGTGGCAATGATTTGGAATCAATGATTATGTCGCATTTGTATCTTCGAATAACTGTATCCATCAAGATTTGAGCCTCTTTAGTACACGTGTATTACTTTAAACTAAAGAATGTAGTCATGTATACTTACGATAAGTATAAAAGAATTCATAAATAAGGTTTTTAATTCAAATCCATAAATCACATTATTTTAAAGGCTTATCATTTATCCTTCTTATGTTGGATGTTAGATTGTTGATGAGCACCTGGGAGCAGCATGTACCCTTGATGAATGTCTTAATTCATAGGGTTCGCTCCATGCCTTAATTAAGTTGTGTTGTATTTGGGTGGTGGGTATCGAGTTGAGAGACTGTTGTTAAAAGCATGAGTAAAGATAACCATCTTTTTTGTTATTGTGGTAAATCCAAGTCTATGCTTCCAACACTATTTTTTAATCGTTTTAGGAAACGTATATAACATCATAAATAAAAAAGGAATCTTTTCTTATACATATAACCAAATATACTAAAATATGCAACCTAAACTTTAAACCGTAACAAAATACAATTCATACCCTAACATCCTCTAAGACTAAAACCAAAACCGTAACTAATTACAATATCTAACATATGTGCACTTGGTCAACATGTATTTAATTACTTGAGGCCAAAATATTAGGTACCCTATTCCTTTTGATGTTTAGACTTCTCAATATGCAAGTGTGGTAGGTGTATTAGGCTATCCCCGTTAGCAATCCAATCCAACCCAATTTTTCTATAAAAAATTAATTTATATTTCTTCCACCTATACAATCCAATACAATCTAATTTTTTACATTTATTAGCAGCCTAACCCAACCTATTTTATATTTAAATTTTATATTTATTAAACTATATCAATATTGGTCTTTTTTTTGCAGAGAAAATTAAATTAAGTTTTTTGGTATATTTTATTTTATTTTTTATTAAAGATAAAATTTCCTTATTAACAAAAATCAGTTTTTGGTATAAAATTAATTGATTTCCCTCTAATAAAGTTGGACACGTACACATAAAGTTATTGCACAATCTCAAGCGAGCGGAGACCGTGACCATGAACTAGCTCACCAAGCATTGTCCAATTCTTATTTTTTTAATATCTTTTTTGTCACGAGCGGCTCGGCTCACTAGGAACCCTAATGGGGGTAGTCTTAGGCACCCTAAACCAAGTCTAAATGTACATGAAATTAAGGAAAAGCAACCTTTCGACATGAGGACTTCTTTAGATTCCTTCTCATTATTTTAGATTCCTTCTTTAAGTATTCATAACATGTTTTAACACAAAAAACCACAAATATATGTTAATTTGGAGTATGGTACTTAGAAAAAAAATGTCTTTTAGACATTCACAACAAATTTGGAACACGTATTCCGATCCTAATACGACAAATCAGGCATGTATACGACAAACTTTTCTAGAATGATGTATTGGATGTTTTGTTTCAAGCTCATATAGACAAAACTCAAAAAACTTACCAATAACGAAGTAAATTACGATATAAGACCATTATATGCTATCATTTTGACAAATATACGATGAATCCAAACATATCTAGAGTAAGGTTACCATAATTTTCTTGAGAGGGGATGGTGTTGTAATGAAAATGAAATCAACATTAAATAAGTCTCGAATAAGTTTATATCAGTTCACGAACTTTATGTCACGTCTCATCGGTCTGAAGCGAATCTACTTTCAGACATATCAAATTTCATACTATCTTTACATCAAATCTCACCAACTTTGTAACAATCTGAAACATACTTTATTACATCGGAATGTCGTGTTCTGCACAAGTTAGTTGTTTTAAAAAAAATGAGATAAATATGGTATTTTTGTTAACTACCCTCTTATTGTGATTAGTTTAATAAATATATTTTTTATAATAAGTCTAATTTTTTCTGACCTACTTACAAGGAGATTTATTATAGATATTATATTGTGTTTCGTGTGACAACCCGAAATTTCTATTCTGTACAACCATTCATTTCAATAGAAGTTAGAACAGTTTCTGCTAACTTTTGAGCTGTGTAGAGTCAGTTTGAGTGTTTTAAAGTTAGTACCTCAGGAGATAACATGAGAGAGGATGCCCTAGGGTTTATTGTGTAGCAATAATGTCCCAAAACTCTAAGAGTTTGGAGTTTACGGCCTAAACAAGGGGTTTACGGCCGTAAACCCCAAGGGTATAAATATGGCACTTAGCCATTTTAATCACTTTTTCACCAATTTCAAGCTAGAACTCAAATCCTCTCAAGTAGCATCCGAATTTTCCTTCTTGATCTTCAACTTGTAAGTGTTTCTTACCCTAATAAGTTGATATCTACCTTAATCTAGTGATCTTACATGATTCCATCCGTGAAATCATTCCAAAAGTGTAGATCTTCAAGTTTCACCAAGAACACACACTAGTGTTCTTGGACTTTTAGCACCTTTTCAAGCTTCTACCTAGTAAGTACTCTTACCCTAGTGTATTATAAGACTTGTTACACTTCTAATCATCTAGAAAACACAAGGAATCAAATGATCAAAGGTGTTTACGGTCCAAGAACACCTTGGACCGTAAACCCTAACAAAGGGGCCAAAGTGGCCCTAGTCCCTTACCAAGCCTTGGAAACTAGCCTAGACCCCTTCCTTGATGTGCTTAGTACTTGAAAACATCAAAAGACCATAAACCATTTGGGTTTACGGCCGTAAACCCAAGGAGAAGTGGTCCAAGGACCGTAAACTCCCTAAAGGAGTGAAATGGTGCCGTAATCTTTTCCTAAGGCTTAAACATGAAGTAGGAATGCTTCTTATGATCTTTATGTCTTCAAAACACAAAATGGTCGAGTACCATGAGTTTATGGCCGTAAACTCATGGGTTTACGACCGTAAACTTAATAAGAATGGGTTTACGACCGTAAACTCAATAAGAGTTGGTCACAAAACCGTAAACTCCAAAAGAGTTTACCCTTGAACCCTAAACTCAATTACAAGGTCCTACCACCCTTAGATGCAATCCTTAGGACTTATAGCACTTAAATCAAGTGTTTTACATGTCTTAGGATGTCTTAAATTTGGTTAATTAGTTGTTCTATGACTAATTGGATACATATATGTGTTATTATATGTTAACTAGGATCATTGTGTGTGTACAAGTCTTCACTTGACACTTAGCATCCTACATCATCCGTTCATCCAAACCACTCACTACAGGTGAGTTCATACCCCCTTAATCAATCTTTTAAATGATTTTAAATGCTTTCATTGGGGGGGGGGGGGAATACAAGTAGAAAACAGGAAGTTATAGAATCAATCACATGTGATTTATAACTGTGTTTTCACACAACTGATTTCACATACTTCAAAATGTGATAAATTCAATGCTTTTCAGTTATTTTTACTTTGTTATCAACAAATTACTTTTGAATTATTTATAAACTGACATCAAGTCATTATTATTTATTGTTCAAAAATCTTAAAAGTTTTACAAAACCTCTTTCAATTTAATGTTAAAAAGCATATCTATACACTTATGTTTCATGTATATATGTATTGATATGAGAGCTTTCATTCTTTCTTCAGTTTCCAACACTCTTGAGTAGCAAGGGTGTATAAACCTACTTGGACATTCAATTTACATTCCAGTAAACTATTATAGGTATAGTTTAGGGGATACAAATTATTATTCCTATTACAAGGAATTTCACAAGAGTCAGTTCATTCATGAGTCTATACTACTATATGAAGAGATATTATTACATGTTTCCAGAGAGAAATACTAGAGAGAAATACTATATATATACTATACGGGACTGACCATCCTACACCTGGCTGCTAGCTACAGCGGGACCTGTTCATCGACGGATGTTCTCGGTTGTACTGTTCGGCGAGTTTCCACGCCGTGATTATCCTAAGGCAAAAGGATATGATTTCAATGATTATATAATTTTCCCTATTACTTTTATTTTGTGACACATTCACATAAACGATGAGGTAGACTATATTTTTATAATAATAGTTGTACAGGGAAAAATCTTCATTGATACAGAAATACAAACCTTCAAAGCATTCGGGTCTTGGTAGAAGACTAATTTTTATACTAGTAGGAAATATGGGATTTTCTAGGGTTTTCACACTTATACTAAATGTTTCATTAAACATTTACAAGTCTTTCATAACAGCTTTTCGAATCAATGACACCATAATACTTATGAATTCACCAGCTTTATGCTGATCTGCGCTTTCAAAATAACTTGTATTCTCAGGTCACCAGTAGACAGATACGATGACCAGGTTTGGAGAAGACGGAGCACAGACAAGACTCGTCTTTTATTTTGATTACATATTTTGGTGTCTTATTACAATGAAAGAACACTCATGTATTAAAACTTTGCTTTTAATGCAATGGATGATGTTGTTGCTTGTTTACTACTTTGCACTGTTATGATACTTTACATGACGTCCTCCACCCCTGAACGTTTCCGCCGTTCTTGGTTTTGGGGTGTGACATTTCGACTGTTTCAGCTCTTTGCTATGTGTTTGCTCTTGCTATGTGTTTGCTCTACTTAATAGGCTAATATCGTTGAAATTCCTTAGCTACCCTTGAAATAAAATCTTAACCTTACAATTGGCATCACAACCTCCGTCATGAGCGCATGTGAGTTGAAGTAGAAGAAAATTGTTGGGACACAGCCAGGGGCGGAGCTTCAACATATGATTTGGGGGCCGAAAATATAATATGTATAAAAATCGATGAGCAGGGGGCCACTGCCAAAATTTTATATTTTTTGGTCTAATATGTATAAAATGAAAGTATAGGGCCCTAATAAAGCTCCGCCCATGGACAATGCTACATGCCTACATCCTTTTCCTGCATAGTCACGTACTTCAAAGTATCTAATTATAGTTTATTATTGAACTTTGTTAGAAATATGATATCAGAATATCAAAAGTAACTTGGATAATTTCAGAAAAAACAAGATTATCCTAGTTTTTTTAATTCTTTTATTTTTTTAATTATTAAATAAAAAGGCGTATCCCATCCAATACCACCACTACACCAACAATCACCATCGCCAATGATCACCACCACGACTACACCACCAATGACTACCACCACCACCAGTAGCGGAGTTAGATGGGGCGTTGGGGGTACTACAGCATCCCCAAAAAATTGTTTTATGTATATATAAAAAATTTTATTTGTAAACATGTTCTATGTTATTGTACCCCCACCTTAAGATATTGTACCATTTTTTTTAATCTCCGGTATATGATAACTACATAGAATATATATTGATAATGTTTGTACCCCCATATTAAAATTCTTGGCTCCGCCAACAAATCACAACCACCACCACCATTACACCACCAATCACAACCACGAAACACTACCACTATTACTAGTACCATCATCACCACATCACCCAACATACACCTGTTGTCGAAAAATCAGAAAACTTACTAGGAAAATATACCACTAAAAAGTACAGATGAGGGATGGCGTAGCCGGTGGCTGGAGTTGAGGGGGTGGGTTACAATGTCAGTGCCCAGAGGTGATATTATCAGGTAAGAGAGACGATGTATCTGCCAAAGATGGGGCTTCCGGCATATCAGCGTTGGATATGCAACGTTGCAGATGCCGCGAGAAAAACTAAACCAAAAGCGGGAGGTGAAGAAAGAGGCAATGAATGGGGTTGATCTCTTTTAAGGAATATTTTAATATTTAGTTATTAGCAATGTCAAATTGACAGAAAAAAATAAACAAAATGAGGGGTATAATCAGGGACGGACGCAGGATTTTGTAGTAGGTGTTGTCAGTGACATTTTTTTTAAAGTAGTGGACAATAGTAGAAAAAACGAAAAATTCGAAAATTTTTACCCTGCATCCGAAAAAACTAGGGGTTGTCGGTGCCACTATGGGCACCATAGTGGAATCACCCCTGGGTATAATGGTCGATTTACAAGTATTTAGCGGATGATAATTGATGGAGTTAGTCTTTAGGATCATGCTAGCAATTTTTGGAAACCATAGGGATAAGCCACATCAATTTGAAAAGTAAATAAAAAAAAATTAGACTCAAATTGCAGATTGGCTTTAAGCATAGGGACCAAAACTATAATTTAACGGATAGTCTTACTTGATGCATATTTTTTTTTATCACATCATTTTGGAATGGAAAAGTACAATACTTATATTTTTTTTATGTAAATTTTAGTTGCACATCTTTGAAACTTATACATTTTAAATAAAACTATATATTATTTTCTTAAAACAACTTAAAATGTGTTTGTATTACTCGTAATTTTGTTTGGATTTTGATGAGTTTCAACTAGGGGTTCTGTGAAAATAAATGAACCCGTTAATTATATATAATACAAATATTCATATAAAAATTCATTTCCTCCCAAAGACCAAAACATTTCGTGACATATTAACTCATTTTTTTTTACCTTGCTTCCCTAAATGATCTATTCCATTCCTTCGTAATTTCATTTCATTAAACCAAACATTCATCCTTCTCATTCATACTGAATCTTTTGTTTATACAAAGAACAAACAAGCCACTATTTGTTCATATATACATGTATACATATTCATTTAGTGCTATTGAACACGAAAAGAGGAAACCCCGGCCTAATACTTGTTGAGAAAACTCCATGGTCCACTAGCGGTTCCAATCCTGCAAAACCATAAAGTTATATTATAAGTTATGAGTTATGAAAACAATGAACTTGCAAGAACCTAGTAATGGAATAATGGAATTGGCCTCTTTTTTATTCAAAGAATTTACCTCCCTAGGCCAGCTATTACTCGTAAACCCATAAAGATGGATAATGCGACCCATATGCCCACAAACCCGTAATGTGAGGATAGTAACCACAAGCATACAACACTTGCTAAGGCTACCAAAACCTGAAGAACAGAAAAAACATCCGACTTATTGATACATTAGAAACAAGAAATGGTATGGGATTATTTTAAATAGACAGAAGAGAAAATGAACTTACCATTGAGAAGGCGGAGTAAAAATAATCTGATGAGCCATAGTTGATCCCATCAAATACAAATGCAATTGTATTTATGGGTTGAGTTGCTGCAACAAACTAACAAGCCAAATGAAATGTATTAAAGATTGTACTGTATTTGACATGCACCGGACTAGGACTCAATGTCAATAAAACAAAAAATTGCAATTATTTCTCCCATCCAAAAAGATTAGACAAAAAATGGATGTATATATATACCGGGATGCCTAAACTCAAGAGTCGTAGAACTTTGGTGTCTGTTGTAAACACTCCTGATGAGAAGCTTAATCCAACACCAACAATTAATGAGAGAACAAGTCCCATAGCCAAAGCTAACTGCACAAAGTGATCAAAAGAAATCAAACACGTATTATATACAAAAATCGCTAAAACAATAAATGGTCAAAGGTCAAAGGTCAAACTCACTTGGAGTACCCGGGCAGCTGTTGCTGTTGCTCTCGTGTAATCTTGTCTTGCGAAAGCTCCTGCAAGAATCACCTGGATTATACATGACATGCATGACACAAAAGCATAAGCATTAAATGTTGTGATTTCTATTGGACTTTGACCTTTCTTTGACTTTAATTTCCAAGAAGACTACCTGGCCAGCGACAGCCAAACCATCAGCAAGCAACGAGGCTGCCACCCAAACCTGCAAGCAAATCTGAAAGGCAGCCATTTCTGTTGATCCTAGCCTGGTTGACATGGATGCTGCTAGGGTTACACAGAATGTTGCTGCAATCACTCTCATCAATAAAAGAAACCCTGTAACAAAAAAAAAAGTAATTAAACACATCATTTAGTTATTTTGACATGACAGATTAACATTTCTTACCATTTTTCAAAAACCGACCGAGTTGCAAATCTTTAATGTGTGGAGGTAAAAGGTCAACTTGCTCCATCAATTTCCATAGGAGGATCAATGAGATCAAGTACCTTCACATATAATACGCTTATATAAGACAAAGCCAATAATTAAAATCTTATATAATTAATTAAAAAAACGTAAAACTTACTGAGAGAAAACATGAGCAATAGCTGCACCAATAACCCCCATCTTGAATACGAATATTAGTATTGGGTCCAAAACAATATTCACTATAGCTCCCACCACTAAATACAGCATGGTGTTAATTAGTGTTACTTCATTTAACACAATATACCAAATTTTAAGGGTGTTTTAGATACTTTATACTATAAATAGTAAAGTAGTTTCCATAAACTATATGTGTCAAATCATATGTTGCACTTTTCATGGGATAATGAAAGATTGGAAACTTACCAATTGCATATAATGGAGTTTTTGTATCCTTAAACCCTCGAAACACTCCTTGCATGGCAAGTGATAGAAGAACAGCAGGTGCACCAAGGGACCTCAGCGTTAAATATTTGTACGCTGGGCTTAGCATCGGAGAATCCTGAATGGTTATTTAAAATAACGCCATAAATAAAGTTAATTCATCAACCATTAATAATGGAGAATATTCTTCAACAGTTATTTATAAAATCCTAAATATGATAATTAAACTGACGACCCCAACACCAATTTCAAGATGTTAACATCATCTTTTGTGTAAATAAAACTTCTTCAAATGAGTTATAAAATACTGTAGTAATATATTTAGAATATATTTTTTTTGTTAAAAATATGATATAAGTTGCACCAATCCACAACCTAAAACTTACAGATTTTATGCCCATATAATTTAATATTGGTTTTGCAGAGACAATGAGCAAAAGAGCTTGGATGAGACCAAGCATGCCACCTATCAACAAAGCCGATGAAGCTGATGAGATATGTCTTCTCCCAGTGTTATTCAGCATCCTGTTCATATCCTCTGCTCAAATCCCAAAACCATGTTAATAATTAATTAATTAATTAGCACAAAAATTTACAAGTGGAAAGAGAGAATAATATTATTCAAAAAGTCAATCACTCGAAGAAAAAAATGTAATTGTATGTATACAAATCATACGAGGTAATTTTGGTAGCATCGGATTTTGTAACTCAATATCATCAAGAGTGGAACTTGAGGTTGTAGCGCTATCTTCTTCAGCCACAAAAGAAGTTGTGATGCTTACAAGTGGGAATATTGCGATCTTTGAAGCTTGATTGAAAATAGCTATGGCAACCCCAACACCAGCAAGCTCCACAGATCCTATATTATTTAAAAAACTTCAATGTTTTGCATTACCCAAATAAATATATATAACTTGTCATATATAGAAGTTAGAAGTTATCAAATTAACCTAAATGGCCGATGAAGGCTGTGTCGATCAAAGAAGCAATGGGGTCTGCCATTAAACCCAAGGCTGCAGGGACTGCGATCTTTGTGATTTCTAAATTCAGCCCATCCTTGCTAAAAATACTCCTGAAACACATCAGATTCAACTAAATACATACTTAATCAACAAAAAACAAGAAATACTATTTCAAGATTCTCATTCGATCATCAATATCAACATAATTGAAGCCAACAGAAGTTGAAATCAACCCAAATTTCAAAAACTTCTTAATATTTGTTAAAATACCTGGTGTCCTGAAACAAGACCCACAAGGGCATGTTTTTTATTTTCCTATGCAGATACACAACAGCATCTGTTGCCACCATTTCGGGAAACAAATACACACAGAGCTACTCAAGAACTTTCAAAATTTGAGCACAAATTGGAAGAAAATAACAGTAAAGAATTTGTTTTTAATAAATATGTCGTGAGTTTTAGTAAGAGCGTTAGGTTTGAATCTAGTTATAAACACAGAAGTAACCCAAACCCCGAAGAAAGAGAGAGACGACATAATCACATAAACCCAAACCTCCCCTGAATCTTCTTATTTTTATTGTTTTAAAAATGTAGGGGGTCTGTTTTTTATTATTGCTTTTGGGCGCGTTTCAACTTCCATTTTGTGAGGAAGTGGCATTTGTGATGTTGTTGGCTGAGAAGATTAATCGAGAGGTTGACGATTTTACCAAAGTGTATTTGACCGAGAATTCACGTTATCGTAACGAGTTTGGTAAGAGGATTAGTTATGGTCACGTTATAACTTATAATATCTGGTTCATATGTCACCTCATCGATAACACTATCATAACACCAATGGGGAAATGGTGTTCCCCATGTTAAGAAGTAAAGATAGAAAAGGAAAAAGAGGAAGAAAAATGATTTGATTGGTTTGCATCGCCGTTGCAAAATGTCATAATGCAAACGAGACATGCCGTAACACCAAGGGGGAAATGGTGTTTATGGTGTTATGACGCCGTTATAGCTTGCCACATCAGTCATAACGCCATATAAAATGACTCATACCTACTGTTCTAAGGCTTTTTTGGAATTTCGTCTTTTTATGTTTTGACAAAACTCTAAATTTTAACAAAAATCTTTGTTTGAAAGGACGAGTTTTTAGTTTTTAATTTAAATACAACTCTAAATGACTAAATCTAAAAGTTATTTCATATAACGCTTAAAAAAAGTTTTTAAGCCTTTAGAATCAGTTTTCATAATTGCCCTAAAAATTTATTTATATATTTAGCTGTTTTAAATAATTTATACATTTCAAATGGTTTAGTTATTTTTGTCAAACATTTATATAACAAATAAAAATTACAGCTTCCGGCTATCAATTAGTTTTGTCAAACACGCCTATGATCAACAAAACATAAACCCTTCATTTGTAGTCTTTTAACATTTTTTGCCTGATTTTATCTAATAATTTTCACTTAATTTATTGTTCTTACTTATTTTGTGGTAACAAGTTCCAAGTTACTTTAAAATAGTATTAGTTACAAAAATTTTACGGTTTTACAATAAACATTTTTTTTCAATGTACCTCATAATTTTATGCAACTTGAAATGTATCTTTTTTTTCGGTTCCCGTTGGTTTGGTTTGGCATCTTTTTGTTGACGTGGAAAGAAACGAAAAGAATGGTGTAAAAGAGGCTCCAAGTCAAGACCTCTTGTACATAATATATGTGTCTTACTAGTTAACCAAATAATATTTTAACTTTAAAAGGGTGTTTTTGTCTGTAGAATTGTTTGGGGTCAAAAGCAATCATCGTATTAACAACCATGTAAAGAAGCGATATATCAAAATTACATTGTTATGCAATATCCAATTGTAACATCATGTTTCGGGAAGTTTCTTATTTTGGGATTGTGGACTATAAATGAATCAAGTAAAGGCATTGGGCTTCAAGGGAATAGGGTTTAGACCCAATTGGATGTTGATAATAGTGGTTATGCGATCCAAGCCCTTGGTTTGTGTTGGAGTCAAAGGCTAAAACGAGAAAAGTGATGTTTCAGACTTCTTAAATGAAATATGTATTTTTTTTTTTTTGGAAAGTTTTTAGTCCAAGATATCTAGATAATATTGTGGGGCTCTTAAATACCTTTATGTGGATATAAAGATCGTCGAAAATGGAGTTGGAACGAAGAAGTTATGACTGTTTGAAGTTATGAAGGTTTTGAGCTTAGTCTAGTACGACGGGCATACAAGGCATCCCTGGTACGATAGGAGTACCAGGAGTACGTTGGGCGTACGTGATCATAACCCAAACCCTATTTTTGTGGTTTGGGCCTTATTTAAGCTCCTTAACTTCCCCAAACCCATTCCATTCTCGGCATCCACCTCTCCAACACCCTCCCTTGAAACCCTAACCTTAGTTTGAGCCTTGTGAGCAAAAAAAAAGGTTTTTTTTTAGTGCTTTGGAGTGTTCTTGGTGCATCTTGGAGAATAAGGAGCTCCTTGGAGAAATGTTGGTTGCATTGGAGCTTGTAGATCCAGACTTTGTTCACCTTGATCTTTCTTCTAGAGGTATAAAGCTTGAATCTTGATGATTCATTTGTTAGATCTAGCTAGTTTTGGATGTTATGAGCTTTTAGTCACTTCAATGCATAAAATTTAGATCTTGAAAGTTTGTGACCTTGTTATGGATAAAGTTGGAAACTTTATCCATCTAAACATCATTTTGATTAAGATTTAAAGGTTGGAAACTTTGACTTAATGGATTAAGTAAAAAGGATGCACATTTGGTCCCTTTGAAACTTAAAAGACTAGATCTTGGTCATTTGGACCATTCCAATGGATAAAGTTGGAAACTTTATCCATTATGGAGCTATTAGGAACTATAAAAATGTGATCTTGGTCCTTCCATCCCTTCTATGCAAGAGTTACGATGTCTTAATGGATTAATAAGTTAGGTTTTTAGAATTTGGACCTTTTCTAGCCATGGAAAGTCATAAAAGTGGAAACTTTATGACTTAAGCCGATGTTTTGAGTCTAGATCTGAGCTTTAAACAAAAAGGTATTAAGGGATAAAGTGCTTAATGGAATGTTTGGATCAGTCAGCGTACATTGGGTGTACCTAGGAGTACGCTTGGCGTATTGGACTTGAATCATGTACGTTGTGCGTACGTGGAGTACGTTGGGCGTACACGGTCAGTCTTGGGCTTTGAATTCCGTTGACCGTTGACGTTTTAACCAAGTTTGACTTTGGGTCAAACTTTAGGATTTTGGACTATTGGTTAAGATTTTATCTGGTTATGGTGTTAGTGGATTGGCGGGTGCAAGCAGTGCAGAAAAAAGGGATCATATCGTAGTGTTTTAGAGTTCTTCGATTCATGTAAGTTTTCCTTACTGTACTTGTGGGTCGAAGACATCAATGCTGGCCCACTAGGTTATGTATCCTGGTATAGAGGATGTTGTTATGTTCTAGTGATCTGTTAGATCTGTGTCCTGGTATATACGACGTTGCTATGCAGTAGTGATATGATCTACCTGTTTTGTCTGATTTGTTATATGATTATCTGTTTACTAGATATATATTATTTGTTATATATATGTCGACATAGTATGGTTGGGTTGAGGCAATCCTGTTTTGTGTGGAAGCCAATAAACCTGGGAGCAAGTCATACATAAGTTGTGGGCCAGTAAGACAAGCCAGACTTATGTCGTGGGCTCAGGAGCAAGCCAAACATAAGATGTGGGCCAGTAAGACAAGCCAGACTTATGTCATGGGCTCAGGAGCAAGCCTGTAACACCCATAAAAATTGAGCCAAATTAGAACATTTTAATTCATTCAAAAACCATTAAGTTCATACATCTCGTTTTCAAAATAGTTTAAACATCAGAGTATCCCCCATAACCATATCACATAAATCATAAAACATGAGGAGCGGTACGATCACGCCTTCGCCTTGCCACGATCTACTGAAGTACCTGAAACAATACACTGAACTGTAAGCCCGAAAGCTTAGTGAGTTACCCCCAAAATACCAACCACACATAAACATACTCATATCACAAATAGAACAGCCATGCACATCGGGTCTACTGTGTGACTGGTCCGCCCGCACCGGGCCTTCAGTCCACCTGGTCCACCCTCCGAGTCTAGCCATGTACATCGAGTCTACAGTGTGATTGGTCCGCCCGTACCGGGCCTTCAATCCACCTGGTCCACTCTCTGAGTCTACAGTATGACTGGTCCGCCCACACCGGGCCTTCAGTCGGCCTGGTCCACTCTCCGAGCCTCGGCACGTCTGGTCCGCCCTCTTGGGGCCTTCAGCCTATCCGGACCGCTCGCTGGGCCTTCGGGATATCCGGTCCGCCCTGGGTATGTTGGCCTACAACATAAAGCAGGACCCGCCTCAACCCAACCCCCGTCAAACAACCATGTGCACATAAACAATTAATCGCATAACAAATCCTTAACTAGACAAACAGTCTAACAGATCACATAGCATATCAACATCCTGACCAGGATTCTGACCTAACCGGTCACTAGCATAACATTACCCTATATACCGGGTACCGACCTTAACCAGGTCACTAACATAACATTACCCTAAATACCGGGATGCAGATCTAGCAAAGCAATAACATAACAAACAATACCCGGATTTCCATCCGATAAAGGGCCGGCCTTGGTGCCGTAGACCCTGTCGATATAGTGAGGATAACTCACCTGCAATTGCCGACTGAAGAGATAAGACCAAGTTGCTCCGACCACCGACACGAACTTCACCACAGCACACTACCAAAGAACCAATACCAAAATTACCAAAATACCCTTATAAGCCCAAAACACTCTAGGGCTAGGGTTTATGATAAAGGGGGTTCACCAATAACTCTTAGACATGAGCTTTATGATATTATGGACCATCACAAGCCTAGATCTGAAGTAGCAACCTCAGATCTAAGCCTCTAACTCGAAATAGCTCACAATCATACCAAAAATGCCCCAAATCTCAAATGATAATGGATCTAGATACAAAAGAGCCCAAGCAACAGATTAATACCTCCAATATATGCTCCAATTGAAGTAGATCCCGAATCTACACCACTCCTTTGCAGCAAGTCTCTTGATCTTCAAGCCCCTTTCCAAGATTTTCTCATCCAAGGCTCTATTCTCTCTATTAATGGAGACTCACTCGAATCTAGGGTTTCCTGGAACTCTCTGGGGGAATAGGAGGCTGGGAGAAGGACATAAAGTCCTTTAAATAGGGTGCAACCCTCGGGATTAGGGTTTTCTCATTCCAGCACCAACTCGTCGAGCACGTCTTGCGACTCGGCGAGTTGGCCACTTAACCCGCGATCAATCCTGCTCCGACTCGACGAGTAGCATACCTACTCGTCGAGTAGCTTCCTTAATTTACACTTAGCACCCTCCAACTTCTTGCTTTCGAACTTGGGATGTTACAAAGCCAGACATAAGATGTGGGCTAGTAAGGCAAGCCAGACTTATGTTGTGGGC